CTGTGCTAAACACTCTGCGTTCTCTCCATTGATGTCCCCAAGTCATGGTTAGTAGCCCACACTCTGGTGTGCCCCACATACTTCTGTTCCTATTATTTGTTCCTAAAGGCATCTGCTGTTGTATAATTTAATCAAACTTTACGCTAGATGAAATATGAGGATGAAAAAACAGTTGCTATTTCTATGAAAAATCGTATTCAATGAGTTGGAGACTCAACAGGGAAGAGCTTTTACAGTAACCTGCCCCTGGATTGGTTGAAGTTGAGATACCTTTACAGATCGGGAGATGTTATGGTGAGGAACTAGTACTCTCCCACTGCAAGAGTTTTTAAGTTCCTGTTACGGTAAAGCACTGAAAATGTAAGGTGGACTTAGACCAGGCCAGCAGCCCGGCATTGTGTCTGGGTCTCCTACGTGTGTGGCAGGCAGGGTACAGGTACTTGGCCATGCTCTGCTGCTGTCCCAGGTGTATGAGCAGGGTGCTGGGCCGAAAGTGGAGCAGCCAGGACTTGAACTGACACTCTGATAGGGGTTATGGGTGTTGTTCAGCGGCAACTTAACTTCCAGTGCCAAGCTCTAGGTTTCATTTGGAAAGTTTGACTAAAGCATCAACAATTTTTACTCTATTCTAGCTCAGGGTGAATTGATACAGAGCAAAACATGTCTTGAAAGAGATTTAAGGTGCTTTATCAGGACACACGTACTCAATGGACTAACAGGAAACTAATACCATGGCTTGTGCTCTCTCTGTCTGAAGCCAGTGCGCCACAGCGAACTCTCTGTGATCGTACCTTGGCTCCAGCTCGGAAAACACTGCTCGTGGTCTACGGCGAGCAGCCCTAGCCACACTGCAACCAGCTGGAGGCTGTAAAAAGCCCAGCGTTCAAGGCCAGGCAAATCGTTGTTGAAGAGTGGGCTCAGGCATCTGTAGTCTGCTCAGGTGATTTCAATGTGCAGAGCTACCAGTGGAGGCTTTGCTCCAAGTGGTCTGAATTCCCTGTGAAAACAGACCAAGCTGGGGGATTGTAAACATTCATGACACGTTTAACCAAAACCAATTTACTTAGCACCAAATGCTAAGACTATGTTATAAATAGATATGACTATAAATATGGAGAATGCTCTCAAATGAGTGCTTTAAAGATAGCACATTCCTGATGCTGGCTCTGCGATGTAGCACAGTAAAGCTGTAGTCTGCGGTGTAGTCATCCCACGTGGGTGGCCAGTTTGTGTCCCAGCTGCTTCACTTCCTTCCAGCTCCTACTAATGCACCTGGCAAGGTAGCAGAAGATGCTTCAAGTGCTCGGGCCCCTGTATTCATGTGGGAAACCTGGAACAAACTCAAGGATTCCCATCTGAAGCCCTGCTGCAGCCCTTGTAGCAATTTCAGGAGTAAACCAGCGGATGGAAGATTTCTCTGCTTTGTTTCTCTCTTTAACTCTTTCAAATAAACAAATAAATATTTTTATTTTTTAAGGTATATTCCTACAGGAAGTCGCAAGAACCTGTAGTTGCATCTCAGGTCCAGCTGGGGAACCTCGGGCAATGTGATTAAACCTGTCTGTGCCTCATTGTCCTCATTTATAAAATCAGTAACACTCGTACCTGTCTTCTGAGATTGCTAGAACTAGAGATGCTATTGCTAAGCCATCTAGCCCTCGGCTCTGGAGACAGAGGCTCCGAAAATGGTGGCTACCTGGTCTAACTCAGTTGGGTTACAGCAATTGGGCAGGGTAAGCCCTTGGGGAGAGTTGTCTCAAACACCACAGAAGCAGAGGCTCGATGAACTTGGGACACAGAAGGGGAGGGATCAGTTGCAAGTCAGTAATCATCAAAAACCAAAAATCGAACAGCAAGTGCCACTGTGAGACTGAATGGAAGAATCACAAGGTCACGGGGATGAGAAGCAGGACAAGTCAGCGACCAGAGGACCCTGATACTCTGATGCTCGAGAACGAAGGCTTCACAGAGTGGGCCCCATTTCACTACTGCACGAGCTACCTGGAGCTGACCCCAGAGAAAGGAATGCTGTGAGAGTGTGGGGCTGTGCGACATGTCCCTTAGCTTTCTTCCAAGCCGGTTGTGCTGAATTTCCTGTTTTCTTTGTATCAAACTGCTTTACAGTAAACATGACAATTTATGGTGGTGCTGACTGTGGTGAGATGTCCAAGACTCTGCAATTCCTGCCTGGATCTACCACACTGGGCACTGCTTTGGTTTCCGTCAAAGGGAGGTGAGCAGGTCTGCTTCCATCAAGGGCTGCCTTTAAGAGGGTCCCTGGGGTTCCCCTGGTGGAAGCAGGTCTTTGGGAAAAAATCAATGCACAGCTTATCTGGCAGGTGACAAACACATTCTTGTGAGCACTACACCCCGCTTAGGCAAAGCATTTGTATCAGCATGTGATTAGCTTAGGCGTCCTCTCTTGAACAGAAATCTGGTTATGAACTTTTTCTGAGGGGCCTGCTATCTACAAGATAACTGCTCTGTGTAAAGCCAACCCCGGGATGAAAGGGATTGTATCAGTACTTGGCCCCAACAATGGCCATTTGCACAGGAATTAGAGAGGGGGCATCAGCTATGTGCCTGCTGTGGGAGGGAAGACCTAGCTCGTGTGGGGGAAGGTGTACTGCTTCTGCTTCAGGCACCGAGGTTGTGGAGCTTTCACTTAAAACTTGTAAAAAATATCAGGTGGAGGCAATGAGGTTACGTGATAGCATTAAATACACCTTGAGCCTGGCATGGTAGCCTAGCAGCTAAAGTCCTCGCCTTGTACGCACTGGGATCATTAATACCTTATCTATTTGATTTTCTGGCAAGTTGGTGTCAGGTAGGGTTAAGTCCACCAACTTTGCTTTTCCTTTTAAGACTGTTACAGTTCGATTGGATGTCTAAGAATTAGTTTGTCAATTTCTACAAAAGAAAGCCTGTGGGAATTTTAGTAATGAGTCTATTCAGCTTGGGGAAATAGGTTACCTTAACAACGCAGACTTTTTTAACCCATAATTTTGGCATCTTTTTCTCCATTTATTTGTTAATTTACCTTATCACTGTTTCACTGTATTCATCTTCAACATTTTTCATGAACTATATCCACAAATATTTAATATGTATATATTTACAATTTATTTATTAGAAGAGCAGAGTGACTGACTAGAAGAGACATACAGGGAAATTGAGATCCTTCACTCAGGTGCCTAACTCCCTAAAAGCCTGAAACAGCTGGGGCTAGACTAGGAAAAATCAGATGCCAGAAACTGCACCTGAGTCTCCCATATGGGCGGCAGGGACCCAAGTGCGTGGGCTGCCACTAGTACCCCAAGCATCCGAAGGGAGCTGGATTACAAGTGTGCAGAAGCTGGGATCAGACAGTCTGTCACAGGACGAGATGTCCCATATGGCAGCCCAACCTGCTATATTCCACAGTGCCCAACCCAGTATTTATTTTGAATGCTATCGTAAACAAAATTTTTCCTCATTTCATTTTCTAATCGTGTGTTGTTAGCAGTTAGAAATGTCAGTTTTATAAATTTACAAACTTTACATCTTTCAGTACTGTTATATATTTACTTAGAATAGCAATGTTTTTGTAGACTCCTTATGACTTTCTATATCCAATCTTTTCATTTTGAAAGACCATTTATATTTTAACCTTTCCGGGATTTATTACCTTTTCATGTCATGTCGCACTGGCTGAGTCCTCCACCACAGTTCTGAACAGAGGTGGTACAAGCAGATGCCTTCCCCGGTGTGATGGGGAAATCCTCAAGTGTGACATTGGCTCCAGGTTCCTGCCCTTCACAGGGTGAGGAAGCTTCTCCCTATTCCTAGTATGTGGGAAAGTTATTTCATATGTGGATGTTCTGTTTGTCAAATGCTTTTTTTATGAATCTTCTGAAATGATCATTTTCTCCTGTCTATTGTTGATAGGATAAATTACAGTGTTCCATTTTTATGTGTTCCATGCATTTGCATTCCTGAGATAATCTCACCTGATTAGGGAGTAGGATCCTTCATGCACTGTGGGACTCAATTCACTCAATCTGTCATTAAACATTTTTGCATCTATGCTTACAAGAGGATTTAGCCAGCAATTTTTTTTGTAGTAGTCTTGTTATAGTGACCTGACAGAATGAGTTGGAAAACATTCGTCCTCTTTTATTTTTTGAAAGTGTCAAAGCTGGTTAATATTATTACTTCTTAGAGAATGATAATATCTAACAGCTAAACCATCTTTCTTGACATTGACTTTGTGGGAGGCCAACTGTAAATTCAATTTCTTTTATAGGCATATGACTATTTGATTTTCTACTTACTCTTCTGTCAGCTTTGTTTTAATTTGTGTCTTTCAAGAATCCGTTTTGGGCCCGGCAGCGTGGCCTCACGGCTAAAGTCCTCGCCTTGAATGCCCCGGGATCCCATATGGGCACCGGTTCTAATCCCGGCAGCTTCACTTCCCATCCAGCTCCCTGCTTCTGGCCTGGGAAAGCAGTTGAGGATGGCCCAATGCTTTGGGACCCTGTACCCGTGGGAGACCCGGAAGAAGCTCCTGGTTCCCAGCTTTGGGTTGACACAAGTACTGGCTGTTGGGCTCACTTGGGGAGTGAAACATCGGACGGAAGATCTTCCTCTCTGTCTCTCCTCTCTGTATATCTGACTTTCCAATAAATAAATAAATCTTAAAAAAAAATCCGTTTCACGTAGGTTATCAAATCTACTGGGAAAACATTGTGCATAATATTCCTCATAATCTGCATCATTCTTTATCATCGGCAGGGGGATTTATAGCATTGTCCTGTATCTCCTTCCTGATGCTGGTGATCTGTAATTTTCTCTCCTCTTTTCTTGTTTAATATTGCTAGCAGTGTATTAATTGCAAAGATTTCTTCTTTCGATCCTTTAGGTCGCTATGCCCTTGAGGTTCGCGTTAATGATTCCCCCTCGGCTTGCACACCGAGGTAGTCCTGCTCTCTGCCGCTCGCAGGGATCCTTGATCTACTCACCACATTTCCTGCTTCTGCGGCCAGCCGGGCAGCATAGCGAGCTATAAGCCGGTGCTCCTCATCCAGTCGGCTAGGACTGTCCAGGACACTGCCAGAGAGACAGAAATTGAATAGGTGTCTATTAAACATCTTCTACTCTTGTTTTTAGGAGAAACTCTTGTAAATAAATTTTTTTAAAATGCTAATAAAAGAAATGCATAGATGCTAAAAATGATCTAATATCAAAAGAGCCCAGGAGAGATGGCAAGACCTTGGGGTTCTCCTGGTTGGCAACACCCTGCCCCCGCCACTCCCACACAACCAGACGGGGCACCTCTTTCCTAAGCTGGGATACCCAGAGAGGCTGAGATAGGAAATGCTACCCAAATTAAAAAAAAAAAAAAACAACAGCAAGGTGTTTTAGATCTAAATCTTACATTAAAAAACACCCAGAGTCAACTAAAGCATGAAAACAAAGGGCTAAGAAGTAAGCCAGACAATGGCTGGGCAAGAGCAGGGTACTCCAACCAGACCAGGCCCAACATGAAGTTGGAGAGCATTCCACGGGACAAAACATTCCCTTTAGTGCCACTTCCTCTGCTTTTACTGTGCTCCTACAAGTAGAGCTTCATGTCACAGGAAGCTGGCTTAATTAATTTCTTTTATCAAGAATATCAACACTCTAGAAAAATAAAGACAGGACAATATGAGATCATGGGTGAGAGAAGAGGTCTACAGTGGTAGTTCTGTGTATATGGGGTTTTTGGGACTATTTATGAAATAGCTGGCGTCTTTAATATTTTACATCGACTGTCATTTACCCATGCCAGGATAGTTCCTGATTTGAAGGGACCGTGGCCATAGAATTCTTTTTAGAATTGCTAGAAGGGGCAGGCATCTGATCTAGCAGACAGGACTCCAGCATGCAGTGCTTGGTTTTCATGTCTGGTTCTTGCTCCTGACTCCAACTTCCTGCTCATGCAGACCCTGGGAGGCAGTGATGGTGGCTCTTGCCACGCACAAGGAAGGCTCTGAATGAATTCCTGATTCCTGGCTTTGGCCCATTTCAATGCCAGCCACTGTGGGCACCTGGGGAGTGAGCCAGCATATGGAAATTCTCCTGTGTATCAGTTTGCCTTCCTCTTCCTATCTCTCAAATAAATTAAAAGTATTTAAAAAAACATTTTTTTTCTCTATCACATCTCATGTGCTTAGGAAGCCTGATCCTGTTTGTCCTACACACATCACTGTGGATGACATGGCTGTGTTCATTGGCTATGCTTTCTAATCAGAAACTAAAATCTTGTGTTGGTGAGAGGTTTTAAGGTTAATGAAATTACTTGAGGGCAGTTAGAGAAGTTCTTGATTCTCTGGGTGAACTTTCATTTTCAAAATTAGCCAGGAAATTTCTGACTTCTTCGAGGAAGTTACACACTCAGTCCCTTGGGCCAACACTGAGGTGGCGACAGTACTCACCCACTGCTGGGGCTCTCATGGGGCCTGTGGCCACAAAGGCTTGCTCAGAGGGGTCTAGCTCCTTGACTATGAGACCTAGGGATGCTGGCCAAGCCCATCAGAGACCCTGCGCTGGCTGACACGCAAGGCAGCTGTCCAAGCCTTTTTTCCTATAACAACTTCTCATTCCCCTGGGCAGGTGCCTTTACTGGGAAATCAGTAAGCTGTCCTGAGGTCTGGTCCTAGAAACCAAGAGACCAGGACAGAGCACAGAACTCAAGTGCTGGACAACAGGACACCCTTTATGTTAAGCATGGGGTCCCTCCTCCCCTTTCATGGGGCAAGCTGATCAGACACACTTGGGAAGACAGTTTCTCTGAGGTGTCGGAGCTAATTAGGCGCCCAAGAATGGCAATGCTATTAATGATACTAGAAAAACAATGAGAAATGGCAAAATGAAGAGGAACATTAAAACAGTCCTTCTCACAGTGGATCTCCTCACTGATTACTAATTTATTCTTCTTTTATCAAGGGGAATGGCGGTGAGGGCAGAGCAGGTGACCTTCCCAGGGAGCCCTGGCATGCAGTGGGCAAAAACTCAGATCAAAATGCTAGGCTCTAGCCTCTGCTACACATGTAGTCTATATGTTGCAGTTTTTCTAAGAGCCAGGATCTCCGGGCAGGGTTACAAGTTGCTGGGCATCATGAGTCCGTGTTGCTGTGACACAGCGCAGGAGGGAAGACCTTGGGTCACTTAAACTTGATCTGTCAACCTCCTTTCAGAGTGGGCCAGAGGCATTTGGCAAACTGTAGGTAACAACACTTTGCTATTTATTAACCAGTTTTTTCCCCCAAAAAAGATTTTTTTAGTTAGCATGTTATCAAGCATTTTTCCATTGCAGCCCACTGAGGGATCAGTCAGTTCCATATTAATAGTGATGCATGATCACAATTTTCAATACATTAGGTAGGTAGGACCATTATAATTGACACAATGATTCTCATACTAGAAACCCCTTATAATATGATTGTGGGATTCCCAATACTACTGCTGGGAATCACAGGCCTAAAAGCAGCAGCAAGGAGAGATGAAAAGCTAGTACACATCTAACAGGGGCATACCATTCAGTATCATGGATTAGACAGAGTACCTGGGGGCTGGCCAGTCCTAAATGCTGAAAGTCCATGGGAAAGTTCCACTATTTAGATAAAAATGAATGGGAGAGTACGCCTCAGGCACCTCTGGGAATGCAGCCTTTGGGGCAGAGGTTTCCACCCTCTGCAACAGTGATCTAAAACCAGGGAGTCAACCCCACTTCCCAGGAAGCTCCGAGTCCATGTGGAGAGAAGTAACTGGGCATGGCCAGTCCCCTTCTCGCTGTGGCCATTGTCTGACTCTGTGAACACAACTGGTCCCTACTCAAGATGATCCCCGCATGCAGAGCTTTCTCCAGCCAGGAACTAGAACCACCCTGCCCCCCACTCGCCCCCATCCACGGTCACCCCCTGGTCCTGTCTGCTGCTCAGTTCTACCACTGACCGTGCACAATGCTGCAGACGGGCCACATAGGAGGCTATCAGTGCGTGCTCATCGGCCAAGGGGCTGGGGGCATCCTGGCTATACTGTAACCTGGGAACAATGGAGGCAGAGACAGCAAGCGTGACACGAACACACACAGAGGGAGAAATGAACATGGGTTAAAATGGGCAAACAAAAAGGAAAATAATAAGTCATGATAAGAAAAATAATACAAAACTGCAGTGCATGATGGGGAATGGAGAGCATGGAAGTCCGACGGCCCAAGGATGCTGTGATTAGGCACGGCGCTGGCTGACGCCCCAGCCCTGGGTGGGGAAGGACTTCCTGGGAGGGCCCCCAGGGAACCTTGGCACCCGCTTCCTTCAGGCTTCCAGTTTTGAGGAGGATATGTGTGTTTTAGGAGATGCTGTCTGGTGTCACACTTGAGGCATTTAATATTCCTAAATGATCCCCTAACATCATGCTTTTACCATTTTTGTTTACATTCTGGAAATATCAGTGATACCACAAGTTACCTGCTCAATACATTTCCATACAAATGCTGCCTTTACCTTCAGTTTGTTTTCTTCTGTTAAACTGGTACTTGAGCCAAATCAACTCATTAACATCATATTATCATACTGATCTGTAACACAACATGATACGCGGGTGCCTCAGAAGTTTATGGAACATGAATGTGAAGAAAAAAAACCAGACATGGTTTTTCTCCTAAACTTATCTTTTATTTCTATTTTCCACAAACTTTCTGCTTTCTTTATAACTGAGATTATTTTTTGAAGATTTTTAGAATTTTTTTATTGGAAAGGCAGATATACAGAGAGAAGCAGTGATAGAATTAATTACCCATCCACTGGTTCACCTCAAAGTGGCTGCAATGGCCAGAGCTGAGCTGACCTGAAACCAGGAGTCAGGAGCTTCTTCCAGGTCTTCCACATGAGAGCAGTGTCCCAAGGCCTTGGGCCATCCTCTACTACTTTTCCAGGCCACAAGCAGGGAGCTGGGTGGGAAGTGGAACAGCTGGAGTTCATTCTGTGCAAACCCAGCCTAATTTCAGCAGAAGGCTCCAGGAGGTGCTCACATGGATGTCCACAGCTTCCTCCTCCTGCACTCAGCCAGCCAAGTGGCAGCCTCCTCAAACTTCGATGTCCATCTCAAATCTCAGCCAGCCTGCCCTTTTCTGCTTTGGTCTTGTGCTGAAATTTGGGCCGATCTCCCCAGGCAGGAAGCCAGAGCAATCCCAGGGCTCTGCTCACTGGCTTCCCTTCCCGTGAAGAAACTGGGTTATACCCAGACTAGTTTTCCAGTCATTTGTAGTGAGATGGCCAGCTGCTATTTCACCACAGTCACAGTGGAAGTGTTCTCCGCAGTAACTCAGTTTTTACAAAAATTGATTTTATTTACTTGAAAAGCAGAAAGAGACAGAGAGAGAGAGAGAGGAAGAGAAAGAGATAGACGGAAGGAAAGAGAGAGGGAGGGAAAGAGAGAAAGAAAGAAATCTTCCATTCACTGATTCCCTCCCCAAATGTCTGTTAACAGTCGGGACTGGCCTGAGCTAAGGGCCAGGAACTCCATCTGAGTCTCCTACATGGGTGGCAGGGGCCCAAATACTTGTCTCTTCTGCTGCTTTTCCAGACACATGAGAAGTGGACTGGCTGGGACTTGAACCAGCACATGGATATGACATGCCAAAGTCGTGGTGGCTTAACTTATTGTGACACAATGTTGGCTGCAAGTAATACATATTTGGGGTCATATTTTTTAGAAAAGATCCACTCCAAACTGGAAATGAAAACAAAACTGCTTCTTCGTGATGGATGGAGAGAAGTACTGCTCGGCAACCTTGAAGGCCTTGTTAGAGTGTCAGCTTTTACACTGATATAACAGTTACAGGCTTTTCAAAGCAGGTGAGAGGTGGTAAGATTTACCTTTCAGTAGAATTATTTGCTTAATGGAAAGTAAAGTTCCAAATAGGGGGAGAAGCAACCAATTAGAAAAAATGATGATAATAATTCATGTGAGAGACAAGAGTGTAGGAAAACAGTCTTAGCAATAGAATGCAGAGACACAGCAGGATCTTATGAGTTCAGCCAAGTTCTTGGGTAGAGCTTGGCTGGGTGCAAGGGCATGACAGGAATCCAGGTTTTGACTGAGCTACTGGGAAAATGGAGCTGCCACTGCCTGTGTTGAGGAGGAGTATAGGAGCAGCAGGTTCAGTGGGGGAAGACAGAGGACTCGGTGTGGAACATGCTGGTTGTGTGGTAACTATCAAATATCCATGCGAGGTGCAGATTATGAGGCTAGGATACTGTGGAGTTTGAGCTCAGGCAAAAGGTCTGGGTGGGTCAGTCAAACACACGTGGAGGTCAGCAGTATGCAGCCAGTGGCAAAAGTCATGAGGGTGGAGGCAGTGGGTGATGACAGATACAGAAAAGCGAGCACAGAAGACCACGGGGGACAGGAGGAAAACCAGGACAGCACAGTACCCGGAGCCAAGTACAAAATGATGTCAGAGAAAAAGGATAAACCTTGTATGCCAAAGGCCGGCTGACCTTGATCTTAAGACAACTAGCCAGTGGGTGTAGCACTGTGCAAGTCAGGAATGATTTTGGCAGAGTACTGGGAGGCCCCAGTCTGACCAAAGGGAATGGCACGACAGGAATGGGAGGCGCCTATGAGAGACAACTCCTTCGAGAAGATTCTGTAAAATGGCAGAGAAAGAGAGAGATCAGTAGGCGCAGCTAGAGGGGGAACTGAGACCAAGAGAGGGTTTCAAAGAATTTTCTTTTCAGAAGAGGAAAACCAGATGCAGATTTAAAGGTGATGGATCAGATTCAGGGGAGAAGGAGGTAAAACGGTGGTCCCCGAGACAGACAGGAGGGTCGGTGACCTGCCTCCTGAGTGAGTGCCCTGCAGGGACCTGCTGAACAGAAGAGGTGGCCACAGTCTGGGAGACACATGTGGCTGTGCAGGTGGGGAGGAGCAGCTTAGGGAACTATTTTTGTAATTGCTTTTTTTTTTCAAGATGCAAAAGATGACTAAACTCGATGAACTTACAGGAAGACTGCTACTCAAAACTAGCACGGTCTGCCAGATACTCATTGAAACCAAAATGAAAAGCACTATTAGCTGCTGCCTGTGGCAGATTAGAAAGTTAAGTGTCCATTCATTTCCTGATGAATTTTTTGCAGTATGTGGGATGTTACATTGTTATACTTACTTTCAAAGTTACACCTGTTTTCTCAGATTTTAATTCCTAGCTTTTGATAAAACAGAAAAGCATTCTCTATATACTGTGTGTCTAGACAGTCACAATACATCCGTTTGTAACTTACACATAGGTTTTGTTTCAGACATTCGTGTTTTGAAAGTGAGGTCAAGAGCTTACAACTCAAAATATTTTCCTAAAAAAAACAGAATCCGCTGCTCTGAGATGTCATATCAATTCAACCTACGAAGGATGATGACATTCACACTTAAAATACATAACAGTTCTGATGGCACCTGTTGGGAATGGGACATTGGAGACCATGCAGGCATCACCCTCCATCCAGGCAGAATGCCGCAGAGCCACACCCCGGCACAGGGGCTGCTGGAGGGAGCTGACATGGCTGGTAGGAGGAGACGATGGCACAGAGAAATGCCAACTGCATTCAATGGTAGGATGAGAGGGGCATGGGCCTCTGAGGGGACAGAACAGAACTGTATCCAGTTGGCAGGGTCAATCAGAGTAGAGGCCAGGGGCAGGGGCCACACAGCTGGAGAGGAAGGCACGTGACAGAAACCCACCTACACCCTGTCCGGGCAGTTCCAGGCTGTGCTCCTCCCATCGAAGCATCCCCTGCCCTAATTCCATGGCAAGGAGGACCCAAGCTACACCAGAGGTGTCCTCATGGGGTGGCGGTGAGATCAAAAGGGACGTTCCTAGAAATGCTAGTTCCCCACAGGACCTCTGCCACCAGAAGCCCTGGGATTGTGCTGGATCACTCTGGGAGCAGAGCCTACGAATCGGCACTTGAAACAGGTCTGTGGGTCTCTAGAGGGTCAGGATGGGAGAGAGCTCTCTCCATGGGTGTTGTGGTCCTAGTGGAACAATGAGAGGCTCACTGTGGGGGCGGGGCCAAGGGGAGCAGGGCCGGAGCGCAGGCATCAGAGGGACCAGGTCAGAAGTGGCACAAGAAACTAAACCACAGCAAAACAACCCTGTGAAGACATGGGCGAAGGAAATGAACAGACATTTTTCAAAAGAACAAATTCAAATGGCTAATGGATGAAAAAATATGCTCCCTAGCTATCAGGGAAATACAAATGTAAACCACACTGAAGTTCCACCTAATTCCACCGAGACTGGTCTACATTCAAAACTTGACTAACAATACCTACGGTGTGGATGTGGGGAGAGAGGTACCCTCCTTCACTGATGGTGGGAGTGTGCAAGCACTATGGAAGTCGGGATGGAGAGTGCTAAGAGATCTGTCGAATGATTCAGCTATGCCACTTCTGGGAATATATACAAAGAAATGAAATCCTCATATGAAAAGATGACCCGTACTCCTATAGTTGCAGCAGCACAAAGACATGGAAACAACTCATATGCCCATTGAAAGAAGAGGGGATAAAGAAACTGTGGTAATTCTACTCTATGGAATACTTCTCAGCAATGAAAATGAATGAAATCTTATCATTTGTAACAAAGTGATCCCAGTTACAAACCATTATGGTCAGTGAAATAAGCCAATCTCAAAAGAACAAATATTGTATGTTCTCTCCGATATATATAAGGCAACCTTCTTGCAAAATATAAGATCAATAGATGTATATACATACACTTGCCTAGAGGAACAGTATAATGGAGACTATCATATGAAGCTACAATGCAGTATGCGTTTCTATTTCCAAATCAAAGATGAACTCCTCATTAAACTGTCAAATATATCTTGATACCAGAATGCTGGAATTTATAGATAAGCATTCTCTATAGCTACAATATCAGGATACTCTTAATTTTTTTTTAAGATTTATTTATTTTTCTTGGAAAGTCAGATATACAGAGAGGAGGAGAGACAGAGAGGAAGATCCTCCATCCGATGATT